CATCGTCGCCGTCCTCGACCTCAACCTGATGTAGCTCGACATGAAGAACGCTTTCCTACAGAGCAAGCTCGACCGGGTGCTGTACATGTACCAGCCAGACTACTTTGACGATGGGACCGGTCGAGTGTGTAAGCTAATGAAGAGCCTGTACGGGCTGAAGCAGTCGCTGCTGCTGTGGTACAGGGCTCTTGACACGGTGCTGCTGTGCACTGGCTGGAAGAAGAGCCAGGTCAACATGGCGCTCTACTTCAAGGCTCGCGACGACGGAGTGACCTGCTGAGTGCTGGTCTACATCGATGACCCGCTCACCACCAGCACCAGCACCTTGATGCTAAAGGAGCTGCTGGAGGCTGCCTTCGAGCTGCGCGAGATCTCGCCGGTCGTGAAGTACCTCGGGCTGGAGATCGTGCGCGACAGGCCAGTGAGGAATCTGTGGCTGCACCAGCAGAACTACGCCGACAAGCTGCGCAGGCGCTTCATTGACGAGGAGTAGACCGAGCGCATCCCAAAGACGCCAGTCTCAGTCAACGCCTACGGCAAGCTGACATCTAACGACGAAGATGCGCAGGTGCGCGAGGAGGAGGAGTAGCGGCAGAAGGTTGGCTCAGTGCAGTTCGCAGCGACGACGACGAGGCCAGACATCGCCTTCGCCTACAGCAAGCTGGGGAGCAGCCTCATGGTGAGGAGCAACCAGCACTGGCGCGAGGTCAACCGCTGCCTCGCCTACCTCGTTGACACCCGCGACACCGCGTTGGGGTTTGGCGGTGGACTAGAATTGCTGGAGTTGATCAGCTACATAGACGCCGACGACGCGGGCGACAAGCAGAACCGGACGAGCACGGGCGGCTATGTGTTCGTCTAATAGGGTGCCGCTGTCTCCTGGTCGAGCTCGCGCATCAAGTGCGCGACGATGTTGTGACACTGCAGCAGCGTGGTCAGCTTCATCTTGCTTACGTGGCCTCACATGCCAACACTGTAGATATCTTCACCAATGTCGTAGGGTCTAGTAATCAACAGTTGTACTTCTCTTGGGCTTGTGCCCACTCTGCCTTACTTGCTTGTCTCTTGATCTTGCCTTGCACTTGTCGTAAACCGCTATATATCTTTATACCCACTTGTTCACGCTTATTAGGTTGTGATCCGTGTATTGCCATTGTTATGAAGCACTGCATGTGAACTGGCCTTGTGGCCGATTGGTTGTGCTCACATTGCGTGGTGATTTTGAGATCCGCCCTAAGCTTTGCTTTGTTTACTTCTCATGAATGGTCTGTGTCCACATGTTTGTTGCGGTTGGTTTGTTGCATCTCATTCAAGCTACGGGGGTGTGTCAAAGTAATATTGCATATGATAGTTTAGCCAGTAGTGAATTGCCGCTTAGGGGTACAACATTTCTCTCGATACCCAACATGTACCCCCTCCATTCTTAGTCAATCACTCCTTCATGCCTATCTTGACACGGGGCTCGTGGTGCAGTAGGGCGCGCGGGTTGCAAGACATCAGGGCATGCGGGGCGCGCAAGGCAGCAGGTCGCACGGCGCGTGGGGCAGGAGTACAGGAGAACGCAAAAATCCCTCCCTTGCCACTGCCGCTACTGACGTGACTGCAGCTGTTGTTACGACTTCTTCGCGGTCTAGGGGTAGGAGCGCCAGGAGCGGTCAGGGTGCGGGAGGAGGCGGCGGAGGTGGCGGAGGTGGCGTGGCGAGCGGCGGTGGCAGGAGTACAGAGGTTGGAGGAGCGTCTCCCCTGCTACGGGTGTTGGGGGTGACGCTCGGGTTCGTAAGGCACCTTCTGGTCCGCCAGCTGCAGGTGCTGGAGTGGCGGCTTGGTACCTGACTCCGCGGCAGCAGCAGCAACAGCAGCAAGCACTCCTCTCGCAGCAGCCACAGCAGCAGCAGAGGCAGCAGAAAGCTCCTAGGCAAGGGTCTGGACCGCGTCAGCTGTTGCGTTGTGCCGTCCACCCTCCCTGTACCTATCTTGTTTAGACAGGTACCTGCTGAGGCCTCTCCTATGGCCGCACCCACCCACCGGGTCAGTGCTTTGCTCAGCTCACTGACACACCTTGTGCGGCCTACGGGGTTGGCGGCCCTGCCCCTGACTGGCTTCCCCTTGTTCAGCGATACGGCCCCGCTCTGTGGGGCATGTCGGCTTCTCAGTTTCTTGATCTCTTTGGAACTCCTCATGCTATCTATGCTGTAATTGACTCTAGTGCTTCTGAATCTATTTTCTCGAGTGTTGCTGGCTTAGGTGCTTGTGCTGCTGAGGTGCCTGTTGCTAGCGTAGGTACTTGTGTTGACACTAGTCTAGTAGCTGCTTCGGATGACACTTCCTTGTCGTTCACTCTGGACTCCGGAGCATCGCACTATTTCTTCCGCGACCATACGACGCTTACTCCGCTTCCTGTGCCGGTCTCTATAGCACTGGTTGATCCCACTTCGGGACCGGTCACTGCTTCCGTGCCCAGCACTTCCCTCGGGTTTCCTGACGGACTTCCACGTCCCCTCGTTCTCCAGCAACTTGGTGGATGTGAGGCCGCTTGTGAGTAGTCATATGGGTGTGTGGATTGAGCCTTCTGGCGAGACTGTGATTTGTGTCGACGGGGACACGTTCGCGCCTCTGGCCACCTTTACCGCTGAGCCGGGCTCTGGTCTCTACACACTTCAGGCTGGCCCTCGGCAGCAGCACCAGCAGCTACTGCCCCCGACCACTGTCACTGCCCCCCGTCAGGTCCCCTCGTCTCACCAGGTTGCCGCTTCTCACCAGGTAGCGCTATGTCTGGTCAGGTTCCCGTGTCTGGTCCAATTGTTGCGTCTTGCTCTTGCCGGTCACTTGCCCAGCCCACCGTTTTGTGGCACCAGCGGATGGGGCACACGTCCATCCCTCGCATGCGCGGTATGTCTAGTCAGCGTCTTGTCTTAGGCCTCCCCCGAGTCCTGCCGTCCCTGCCGCCTTCGCTCGCACCACCTTGCGGTCCCTGCGTCGAGGGTCAATTGCGCGCCACCCCTCACTTCTCCTCCCTTTGTCCGGCCACCGAGCCCTTTGAGACTCTCCACTTGGACGTCTAGGGCCCCGCCCCTCGCCCTGACCCTGAGCAAGGGGAGTTTCTTTTTTGTGGTCGTTGACGACTACCCTCACTACACCAAAGTGTTCCCCCGGGCGAATAAGTCTGAGGTGACTTCTACACTGATCCGGTGGTTACTTACCACTCCGGACACCCGTGGTCGTCCTGTCAATTGTCTTCACTGCGACTGTGGGGGTGAGTTTCACTCCGGCATTCTTGCTAGATTCTGACGCGGCCAGGGCATCCGTCAGTCCTATACGCTTCCAGAGTCCCCACAACATAATGGGGTTGCTGAGCGCCGTATAGGCTTGGTCATGGAGATTGCACGCACCTCCATGTTCCACCCTCGTGCGCCCCATTTTCTGTGGCCCTATGCGGTTCGGTACGCCGCTCACCAGCTGAACCTTCGGCAACGTGTCTCTCAGCCAGAGGCTTCACCGACCAGTCTTTGGACCGGGTCCCTGGTGCTGCATCGTGTTTTCGTGTCTGGGGCTGCTTGGCACTTGTTCGCGACACCTCCGCGGATAAGCTCTCCTCTCACGCCCTTTCCTGTGTCTTCCTTGGTTTCCCCGTGGACTCCTCTGACTTCACCTTTTACCACCCTCCCCTTCAACGGTTCTTTGACTCCCGCAACGTTCGTTTTGTCGAGTCAGTCCCCTACTACACTCGGTACCCCTCTCGAGGTCTTTCGGTTCCTCCTCCCCCTCTCTTCCTGACTCCCGCCCCCCCTCCTACCCCTCTGGTACAACCCCCCCCCTGGTCCAGCCCCGTCAGCTGTGTCACCGCAGCTGGAGGAGCGGCGTTCGCAGCCCCAGCAGCAGCAGCAGCAGTAGCCGCCACCTCCTCCTCCTGTCTCTGGTCTTCGAACCCTCAGTCTCCCCTCTCCCTCTCCTCCCTCCTGTTGGATGCACATCATTTCTGAGTGCATGTCATCCTAACATCCTGCCGAGTGCTCGTGCTCTTCATGCATGCATTGTTTGCATCAGCATATGTCATTGTGCATGGCTGTTAGATATTGTAATCTCTGTGTTTTTCTCCAAGTTTGAATGCTTGATCATGCAGGAGAAATCCAGAGCTTTCCAACGATACCAAGATTGCCTTATTCCGACCAAGATCGCCCAAGTTACAAGATTTCCAAGACTTGGATCTCTTATTACCTTTTGGGGCTATATATAATTTGGGTGATTACTTGGACATGACTATAAAGGGATCTTTGGTTGGGTGGTTAGGAAGGCAACTTTGACTTTTGGATTGGGGAGGCTAGAAGTTTCTAGCATGGGTTGCAAATGTTGCAACACTTAGGCAAAATCCAACTAGATTGGATTTTGCATGTGACACCTCAAGGACCTCATGATGAGGGTTGCATCCTTACTGCTAGAAAGGTTCCTACCATCCTTCCCTAGCTCTTAGAGAACCCCTTCCCTCTCATGGTTCTCTTGGAGGTCCCCAACTCCAACTTTATATACTCCAATGCTTGTACTTCCTCTACCATTCTACTAATGCGGCTGCTGGACGTTTTTACTTGGTTCTCACTCTCTAGACCGTCTTAACGACTTGTTCAACTTGGAGATGGTAGCTAAGCCTAAGGCGCACAATCCTACTGAGCGGATTTGCGTTTAGTTGAGTAATGAGTTCGTCGTAAGCTCTCAAAGTGACAGAACCTGAACAACAAGTGGTATCAGAGCGGGTAGTCGACTTTGAGACGACTAATCGTCATGAATTATCAACCAATGTTGACGAGTGAGACCAGTTTCTAGTAGCCCTGCTCCCAAAATTTCGATTGGTGGTCAAACCGCGTTCTAATTCAAAATATCAAGTCCGCGACGACGTTTTTTGTAAAGTCGAAATTTTGGCAGAATTCTCTCCAAACGCTTTCTCAAGTTTCCACCATTCATAAGGCCTCAATATGGTTGGTACGAACTCTGGAGGTGCTAGTGGCGAGATGGATAGAAGTAGAGAGGCTGGAGAGCAAGGGGGATTTGCTGGTGGAGGAGTGCGGACTCACCAACCAGCCAACCCTACGCTACCCTCAACTTCTACACCATCTCCTACAACCGTGGATCCTGTGAAGACTTTCTCTATTGAGAAATTCATGGGGGAGGACTACGAGCACTGGAGCTTCCGCATGAGGCTGATGTACACTCAATACAAGCTATTGGATTTGGTGGAGGGGAAGGAGAAGATGCCAGAGGCTGTGGAGCTGAAAGGAGCGTGGATGAAGCGATCGTTTGACGCGTACATGCTCATGGTGCAAGCGGTTGGCGGACGACAACTTGACCACATCAAGGACCTCTTGGGTGATCCAGAGTGTGGCCCCAAGGCTTGGAGGAAGCTTCTGGATGTGCACTTACCGACACATGCTACCGGCATCGTGCTACTTGCGCGGCGGCTGCGCGACATCAAGTTCATTGATGGAGAGCCGATGCAACCAGTATTGGATGAGATGCGGGACATCTTCACGAAGCTACAAGGCGGCGGTGTGGTGTACCCGGAGCTCGTGCAATGCGTGGAGATCGTGATACGGCTGCCGGAGTTGTGGTCTGCCCTTGCGACCAACCTCAACTCTCAACAGTCCCAGTAAAGCGTGGATTACATTCGCGCGCGCATCCTAAAGGAGGACTTGCGGCGGCGGAGTGTGGAGCGCTCAGAGGAGGGGGCTGGCTATGGAGTTGGAGGTGGAAAAAGTGGCTTCAAGAAGAATTGGAAGGGCAAAAACAAGGACAACCCTAAGGAGGATGGCGGTGGGGGTCAAGGGGAGGTGTGCTTCTACTGCAAGAAGCGCGGACATCGTTGGCGGAAGTGCTACCAACGACCCAAGGATTGGACCCCGCCTTCATCAAGCAACCAGCGTGGTGGCACGGGGAGTGGGGGAATCATGGGAGCTAGTGGAGAGGAGAAGGAGGAGGAGAAAGGCGGCAAATCTGAGGAGCGGAAGGCCGGGTTCTTCTTCTTCGTGAACGAAGGCGCAACCGACCTTGCTATGGCTGCCAAGGTTCTCCTACACCCCCTCACCCATTGGGTGATTGACTTCGGGAGCTCTTGGCACATGACTCCTCGTGCGGACCTACTTGATGAGATTCAGTCCGCACCCATCTCTGCAGTCACATTCGCGACGGGCGCCAAGGCCAAGGTCATGGGCATGGGATGCGCCAAGTTCATGGGAGCGGATGGAGAGCTCGTGGGGCTGAAGAACGTGCTGTGGGTGCCAGACTTGTGCGCAAACCTGATTTCTACCGGCCAGTTGGGAGATGCGGGTGTGAACACCGAGACGATTGGCTTGGAGCGCTATCGTGCTTACAACGATGAGCGGCTGATTTGGGACCTGCAGTGGAAAGGGGATGTCCACAAGCGGATGTGGCAGATCCCGGTCCTACCTTGGCGGAAATCGGGCAAGGCGGCAGCCGCGGCATCTATGGAGGAGAGCGTCACTTAGGAGGAGGAGCAAGGTGTGCAAGGAGAGGAGCTGATTGGAGGAAGCGCGGTGGTGAAGGCGTCGGCTACCTTGGGCCAAGCAGATTGGGAGACTTGGCATCGGCGGCTTGCACACGTGGCTGTTTCTACATTGGAGGTGATGCACAAGGAGAAGTGCGTGCATGGGCTGCAATTGCAAGGAGATGGCGCTCACTATGGCAGCTGCGAGGCGTGCATGCAAAACAAGTTTGCGAGGTTCCCGTTTCCACCTGCGGAGGGATCAGCTAAGGCGCCACTGGAGGTGGTGCACATGGATCTGGTGGGTCCTATGAGGACTGAGGGGACTGGGGGAGTGCTGTACTTCCTCACCATGGTGGACGAATGGAGCCACTTCACTTGGGCACGTCCCTTGTCCAAGAAGAGCGATGTTGCAGCGGCGATCAAGGAGGATTGGTTGCCAATGGTGGAGCGGCATGCAATGCGGCTAGTGAAGGTGCTGAGGAGCGACCGTGGTGGAGAGTTCCTTGGAGCAGAATTCACCAAGTTTCTCAAGAGGAACGGCATCCGACACCAACTGACCTGCCCTGGAACACCGCAGCAGAACGGCATTGCTGAGCACGCCAACCAGACCATTGGCGAGGCGGCTAAGACCTTGTTGGGGGCTGCTGGGATGCCTTACAAGTTCTGGCCTGAAGCTGTTCGCCATGTCATCACGGTCAAGAACAGGGTCTTGACACATGTTGGCGACAAGCACTGGGTGCCGTACGAGCGTTGGCTTGGGAAGAAGCCATCTATTGACATGCTGCGGGTGTGGGGCTGCATGGGGCTTGTGATGGTGCCTAAGGAGCGAAGGCACAAGCTGGAAGTTGCTGTTGTGTGGGCTGTCCATCTTGGGATGGCTCCTGACTCAAAGGGGTGGCTGATGTGGGACCCCAAGAGCAAGAGGACGCTGATCAGTTGTGACGTCAAGTTTGTGAAGGACGTCATATACAAGGAGTGGCAGCAGCAGCAGCAGCAGGTGCAGATTGGCTTGCGTCTGCACGTGATTGAACGGTCTGCAGTGGAGGAGGTTCAGCTGCACCTTGAGGATCTCCCTGGGTCAGAGCTGATGAGTGACCACAGTGGCGGTGGTGAGCAGCAAGGTGCTGGTCCTGCTGCGGAGGAGGGGTTGGAGGATGAGTCGGCACGTGTGGACTCACCAACTCAGCCCGAGCCTGGTGCAACCGCAAGGCCACCAAGAGGAGTGTGCAGAGAGGAGCTTCACCACATGGGCAGCAGAGTGCAACCCGCAAGAAGAGAGTGGTAGCAGCACCCTTAAGGTTGAAGTATAGCCGTTTGGGAGGACCCAAGCAAGGTGCCATGGCGGTTCAGGCGGATGAGGGAGAGGATGAGGAGATGGCCTTTTGTTTCTTCACACCCTTGCCTGGAGAACCAGCCACAGTGGAGGAGGCACTCAATGGACCCCAGAAGGAGGAGTGGAAGGCTGCCATGGATGCGGAGTTCAACAGTCTCATTGAGAATGGGACTTGGGAGCTTGTTGAGTTACCCGAGGGGCGATGGCCGATCAGCAGCAAGTTGGTCCTCAAGGTGAAGAGTGGTGCGGATGGTGCGTTGGAGAGGTTCAAGAGCCGCTTGGTCGCCAAGGGGTTTCAGCAGAAGGAGAAGGTCGACTTTGGGGAGATCTTTGCTCCCGTTGCTAAGCCAGTGACATTGAGGACTTTGATGGCTGGCGGAGCTGTGAAGGGATCGCACGTGAAGCAGATGGATATCACCACTACGTTCCTCAATGGAGTGTTGTTGGAGGATATCTACATGGCACAGCCCGACGGCTATGAGGATGGGACCAGCCGGGTGTGCAAGCTTAAGAAGGCCATCTATGGCCTTAAGCAAGCGCCCAGGTGTTGGTACGAGAAGCTCGAGGAGGTGCTGCTAGGTGGAGGCTTCAAGACATCCCAGGCGGATCACAGTTTGTTTCTTCTTGGAGAGGGGGAGCTGTTGCCTTTGCTGCTGGTGTATGTCGATGACATACTGCTGTTCTCACCTTCCATGGAGCAGATTGAGAGGACACAGAAGCTGCTGATGGACAACTTCAAATGCAAGATGCTGGGGGATGTCCACTACTACTTGGGGCTGCAGATTGAGAGGGATGTTGAGAGGAGGTGGCTGAAGGTGCATCAGTCACACTACATCTCTGGTGTCATGGAGCGGTATGGTGTGACCTGGGGTCGCACTGTGATGACACCGTTCCCTGCGGGCTTCAAACTAAAGAAGGCAGCTGAGGAGGATGATGTACTCGAGGATGAGCAGCAGAATGAGAACCAGTCACTCATTGGGAGTGTGTTGTATGCAGCTGTGCATACGCGACCTGATGCTTCATTCGGAGTGGGACAGCTGGCCAGAGTTGTGCAGCGGCCCACTGAGGAGCAGTTGGAGGTGGCAAAGCGCTTGGTGCGCTACCTCGGATCAACGGCATCTGCTGGTGTTCAGTTTTCAGCTGGTGGCCAGCTGAAACAGATTGGAGCAGATGGGATCACACCTGGAAACTTGAAGCTGTCATGCTTCACCGACGCTACGTGGGCCTCAGAGGAGGAGGATCAGTCATCGGTTGGCGGCTTTGTGTGCATGGTCGGAGGTGGACTAGTGAGCTGGAGGTCCAAGAAGCAGAGTGAGATTGCTTAGTCTTCCGGAGAGGCGGAGTCTATGGTGATGTACCATGCCATCAAGGAGATTGTGCTCCTGAAGAAGCTGCTGGAGGACATGGGAGCTGAACAGGAGGGACCTACACCACTTTTCTCCGACAGCGAGGCTGCTATTGGCATGGCAAATAATCCTATCCTGAATGGGCTGAACAAGCACATGAAGATTAAGTGGCACTGGGTGAGGCAGATGGTGAAGGAGGGGATTGTTGAGCTTCACCATGTGAAGGCTAGCAAGTAGGCGGCAAGTTTTCTCATCAAGAGACTTCCCGAGAGCGCACATTGGAAGTGTACTAAGATGTATGGCATGGCATTGCACTAGTGTGGGCAGCAGTGTCATGAGTGCATGTGTGATTATGTGCATGAGAGTTTGCATGTGTGTTTGTGTGCTTGCAGTCCATTAGTCTGAGGGGGAGTTTGTTGGATGCACGTCATTTCTGAGTGCATGTCATCCTAACGTCCTGCCGAGTGCTCGTGCTCTTCATGCATGCATTGTTTGCATCAGCATATGTCATTGTGCATGGCTGTTGGATATTATCATCTCTGTGTTTTTCTCCAAGTTTGAATGCTTGATCATGCACGAGAAATCCAGAGTTTTCCAACGATACCAAGATTGCCTTATTCCAACCAAGATCGCCCAAGTTACAAGATTTCCAAGACTTGGATTTCTTATTACCTTTTGGGGTTATATCTAATTTGGGTGATTAATTGGACATGACTATAAAGGGATCTTCGGTTGGGTGGTTAGGAAGGCAACTTTGACTTTTGGATTGGGGTGGCTAGAAGTTTCTCGCATGGGTTGCAAATGTTGCAACACCTAGGCAAAATCCAACTGGATTGGATTTTGCATGTGACACCTCAAGGACCTCATGATGAGGGTTGCATCCTTACTACTAGGAAGGTTCCTACCATCCTTCCCTAGCTCTTAGAGAACCCCTTCCCTCTCATGGTTCTCTTGGAGGTCCCCAACTCCAACTTTATATACTCCAATGCTTGTACTTCCTCTACCATTCTAGTCATGCAGTTGCTGGACGTTTTTACTTGGTTCTCACTCTATAGACCATCTTAACGACTGATACAACTTGGACATGGTAGCTAAGCCTAAGGCACACAATCCTTCTGAGCGGATTTGCGTTTAGTTGAGTAATGAGTTTGTCGTAAGCTCTCAAAGTGACGAATCCTGAACAACACCTCCTCCCCCTCTCCTCCCGTCTCTGGTCCTCTACTTACTCCTCATCACCCCTCCCCAGCTGTTTTCCCTCCTTCTCTACCTCCGTTGTCCCCTCGTCTTTCTCACACTTGGCCTTCGCGTCGCTCTCCTCGTGCTCATCCCTTGCCCTCTGTTCCCTTTTCTGACCTTCGTACTACCCTGTTTCTTTCTAGTCCGCCTCGTTCGTCTCCTTCTATACTTCCTTCTCTTCCTGAGTCGACTCTCACTGCTTCCCTCTCTACTCCTGTCACGGACAACTACCGCACGTACCATCCTGTTTTCTCTCGTGTTCTCGCCTCTCTTGTTACCGACCCACGTGCTTCTCTGTCCTCCGTCTCCGCTCTTACTGCCGCAGTCACCGAGTTTGCCTCGACTCGCCGCCTTGACTACACCACCAGTATTGTGGCTGCTCCTCCTACAAGTCCTCCTCCTACAAGGCTCCGCACCCGCAGGCTCAGCATCCCCAGGCTCCGCACTCTCCTGCACCTCACGTGCAGGCTCAGCACCCCTAGAATCAGCACCCCCAGCAGCACCTCCCGCAGCAGCACCTGAGTCGGTAGTGACCTCTACTGGCTCAGCCAAGGGGGGCGGGTCTACCTAAGACACACCTGAAGGAGCAGGACCCTGAGGGGGGAGGGGGTCTACCGGAGGGGGACCTAGAGCGAGGAAAAGCGGCGGGGGAGGGAGAGGGGCAGTGCGGTAGGGGAAGAGACAGAAGAAAGGAACCGACTCGTCAAAGGTGACGTCCTGAGAGGGCAGGACACGGCGCAAGGTGGGGTGGTAAAACTGCCAGCCAAGGAAGACACAGGGAATGGTGCGGGAGGAGAGCTTGTCCGCGGACGTATCGCGGAGAAGGGCACAAGCACCCCAAACCCGAGAACGCGACGCATCGCCAACCTCCCCCGTCCAACACAGTGTGGGCGAGGTCTCCGGCAAGGAGACACGTGGCCAGAGGTTCAGCTGCTGCGCGGCGTACCGCACCGCAAACGGCGACAGAAAATGGGGAGCCGCCTCATGAATCAAGAAGGTACAAGCGACCTCCATGACTAAGCAATTGTGGCACTCAGGAACCGCATTTTGCTGCGGTGAGCCCGTAAGCATGAACAACTACTCGATGCCCTCCCCTTGACAGAAGGCCCGCAAGAGGTCGGAGGTGAACTCACCACCTCTGTCAGAGTGCTGACTGTTAGAATCTAGCAGCATGAATGAATCAACTATGAAAGAGTTGGGTACAAGTATGAAACCCTAAAAGGGGCTGTACCCCATATTGGCTACCCCACTACAGCCTACACATATATAACATGCATATACTTCGACACACCCCCATAGGCAAAGTGGGGGAGAGCAAGGGGTCACAAGACCAGTCAAGCAAAGCAAAGCAAGCTCAAGGTGGATCACAACGTCACCACACACACTGAGCACAAGCAAGGGGCCACAAGGCTAGATCACATGCAGAGGTATATATGCAACACCAATAGCACAGTGATCTCTACCTAGCAGAGCAAGCATGCAGGTATATATATAGATCACAGAACAAGCAAAGTCTACAGCAAGTGAGGAAAAGTGGGCACAAGGCCTAACAAAGTGCAGAAACGCTGATGATCACCAGACGGAAGTGCCTTCGTGAATATATCAGCAGTGTTGGCCCGAGTAGCCACGTGAGCAAGACGAAGCTGCCCACGCTGCTGCAACTCTCGAGCCAGGAAGTCACGCAGAGCGATGTGCTTCATTTTGTGCTCCTGACACTAGGCAATGGCGGCCTTGTTGTCGACATGGAGCACTGGAGGAGAACGAGGCCACTCTCCCAAGTCGGTCAGCAGGTAGGTGAGCCAGCGTAACTCCTGTGCAGCCATGGCTGTGGCGTAGATCTCAGCCTCACAACTGGAGCTGAGAACAGAAGACGAGCGTGTAGAACGCCAAGAAACTGAACCAGAGCCAAGGCTGAAGGTGTAACCCTGTGACGACTGCTGCGTAGCCTGGTCGTCAACCCAAGAAGCGTCTAAGTGCCCAGTGAGGACAAATGCGCTCCGCCCTCCAAGCACGAGCCCCATGCCCGATGTACCGCACAAGTAGCGCAGTACCCTCTTTGCAACATCCATGTGCACCTTTCGGTGACGACCAGGAGCCACGTAGCGAGCCAGAAGGCCAAGAGGGTACGCTAGGTAAGGTCGAGTGCAGGTCATCAGGTACATGAGGCAGCCGACTAGCTCTGGGTACGGGCCACTTTGCTCTACGGACTCGTCCGAAGGTGGAGCTGAGAGCGAGTGGCCTGTAGCCAGAGGAGTGTGCTGTGGCGAGGACCAGATGAAGCCGAAGCGCTGAAGGACCTGCTGCACCATGTGTGACTGAGTCAGTGTGATGGTGCGGCGTGCTCTGTCCCGGGTGATTTGTGTCAAACTC